CTTCCTCTCTCCTTCTCTCTTCCTTTCCTCTCTTTTTTATTTTACCCACCTGTCGTTTCCACTACCTGCTTCTCTCTCTCTCCCCCTGCCCTAGGGAAACAGCGTCTGTTCTGCTTAAGAAAGTCGCAGTCGAACACCCAAATCACCCACCCTCCCTTGATGAGCCAACAACCTCTCCTGCCTCGATTACGAAGGACGAAGGCCGCCGATGACATCTCCCAAAGGAATGACGAGGGTCTCATCTCATCCCCAGTACAATGAGTCACCAGCGTCACCACCCCTACCTTACAGCACATGCTGCGGCGGGAGATTGGCTGAAGTGGAGGTGGAAACCAATGCAGAGGGAGAGAGAGCGGAGCTCGGGCACCAGATGTCATCATCACATTTCATCATCGCTGAAGGAGAGAAGAAAGGTTTCGCTAAATAGGAACTCGACGACGATGGATCGCCTAGCAACGAACTTTCCCGCCAAGCAACCACGCCGCTTTCCCGCCAAATCTTCCCGTAATCACAGCCGATATCCCCGATTCTGTCACCCATGGCAATCCGCATCCCTATCCCTACAGATGGCTCGGCACGTCTTTCCTCTCCTTCTCCTCGTCGTCGTCGTCCTGCCAGCCCCCCTCCTCCTCCTCTTCCTCCTCCTCCTCCTCCTCCACCTCTTCCTCCTCGCGCAGAGAACATTTTATCCCCTCCCATTCAGCCGCCTATCCCATGTCCCTTTCCCGCGCAAACAGGGAATGGCATTCCCCGTCCGACGTGGCAGCACCGAGAGACAGCCTGGCGGTACGCGGATCACGAAGCAGATCCCTATCACCTCCCCCTCGTGCAGGGGAGCCATATTCTGTCAGGGGAGGTGGAAGATTTCACTGTGGACGCTCAGCTTGTCTTTCCCGCCCACGCCACGTGTCGTCTCATCCTTCCCGCCCCGCTGCGCGCCGAGGAACGCCCTCCTCCCCCCTCTCCCCCCTCCCCCCTCCTTTCCCCCGAGCGGGACATGCGCCGTGCCCACCTTCCTCCGCCCGCAACTCCTATGCGCTGTGGGCTTTCCGCGTCACTGCATTCCCTAACTCTCCCTCTCCTCTCCTCTCCTCTCCTCTCCTCGCTCCTGACGAACAACCATGCCACGGCAAGGCGGGTCCAAGAACCCTTCGTAGGCCGTACTCACACTTTGGACTCTTTCGGCCGAATGTGGCCGCAATTGAAGCCAGATGCACGGCAGCAAGAAAGTTGTGTGAGCTCACCCCTTTATCGCCTCTACATGGGTGTCAAGACAACAACCACCCCCATACCATCCTTCCCTTTGTAAATCTCCAGGGTCCCATTCTACTTCTCACATCTTGACAAGCTACGCGCCGTCCCCACTCCTATACTCTTCTTGCTCACAGTCGATTTGACCAATCCCCTCCCCTTCCCCCTCCTCCCCGTTGGAAAAGCCATGACGCTTCAACCTCCTCCACCTCCATCCTTTTCACTGCTTAGCCACATTAGTAATTATCACATCGCCACAGTTCCCTGGGATCAGCATCCGCAACTTCGTCTCCAATGCCGCCACGTGTCACTACCGGGACCACACGACCGGGCTCCACTGACGGAACCTCCCCCTTGTCCCTCATGGGAAAGCGAGCACCACCCTTCTACTCTAGAATGGTACCTGGTAGTCGTGTGCACACTAGCCACCGTCGAACCCGACTCAACGCAACTCAACTGGATCTATCTATGTTATCGGGGCGAAGGCCGTGATAACGCAACTCAACGCGACTGGTAGATAGTTTACGCCTCCCAAGTTCAGACGAAGGTGTCAGTCGAGCAGAGTCCCTAAGGGAATGTCAGCGGCCGTGTTGTCGGGGAGAGGCTAACCCCCCGGGTAGCACAGTAGAGCACAGTCATGGTAGCATTGCCTACCATCAGTCATCGAACATGCCCTCCGCAGACTACAGCCACCCCACTTCCTACCCGATGGCCGGGGCACGCGCTCTAAGGTAGCTTAAGTGGCTGAATGGTAAACAGCCTATATTAACTGTTAAAAACAGAACATGCATTCGACCCACACGAAAAACCCGTGTGGCTGAATGGTAAACACACCTACGGTACCTCATACAGTATGTGACCGAATGGTTCACACTCTATGTTAGAGAACAGAAGATAAGTTTGAACCACGCAAGAAAAACAGACCAACACTCTCTTGACAAAAAAAGATTGCACGCTAGAACAAACTAGAGGTGAGGTCGCACTTCTGTGGATTTCTCTGGATTCTTCGCCCAGGGTCGTCCGTTGGGGAAGGATAGGCGTCATAGAGTCTACTTCAATTCGCAGCCCTAAGGCTGCGGTATAGTGGGCTTGGGCGTCAAAAAGAAGTGGGGGGCGTTGGACCGGACCCCGGGTACAAGCGGACCCCAAAAAGAATTGAGGGCATGTGAACTGCAACAGGCTCCTCAGGCCCAGGCCTTGAGCCCCGTCTTCTCAAAACAGGGAGGTCAGGCACAACGAAATAGGCGTTTTGCAAGAGGCAACTTTGGCGATTTTCTGTGCTCGAACGAAC